TATATATATATATATATATATATATATATATATATATATATTATACGCACATATATATGTGTATATCAATAATGAAATATGTTTTCATTTTAAATTAATTAGAATAATATATTAATTTTATCTTAGGAAAATGTCTAGAATTTTAATCTGCATTTGTAATGAAAATTCCAAGATGCAATGATTCTGTTCTTAAATTCGATGATTCTAAATCAGACAAGCTGTATTTGCTCCAGAGCATATATAAATTATTCTTCTGACTCTAAGACTGACCCTGGTGTGTTGGGATTTTTTGGGTTTTGTTTTTTGCCACAGTTCTATCATTGAGACTGTTGTATTTAATAATTAGTTTAGCTGTCCTGAACTGGTTTATTCTAATTCCGTCTGCACATTCACAGCAAAATCTCTTCTTACTTGTCTCTCCAGTGTGTTGGGTGGGGCCACATAATTGGCTTGATCATACATTCTTATACCATCGCTGCATAGAGCCAACCATAATTTATTGGAAATTATGTAAATAATCACTTCTTTCTTGCTGTCACTGGCCTTTATCAGAAGCAATATCTTCATTTAGTTGGGCTTTCCGAGTTAGTGTTATTCCTGCACTAATAGATTTACATTTCTGCAAGCAGGTACCAGTAATCTCTTCAAATAAATCATTTTAGTTTATATGTACATATTTTCTTTCTCCTTTCAGATTGTTTTTCCTATTCAGCTTTAGAAGTCTTGTCGAAGAAGTGCTATGGAAAGCAAAGGTGTAAAATTATTGCTAACAGTCATAACTTTGGAAGACCATGCATGCCTGGGGTGAAAAAATATCTCAATGTCAGCTATGCATGTGGTAAGGAAAGTATGGAAATCATAAATTTCACAAACAGCAACATTTCAAAAGCTAGGCATCTTGCATGTATATGTAAAATTCATATTATTCCCATATTATAAAATATAAAATAGGTACAAAAATAATTGTAATGCAAATTTTTGTTTACAGTTTATGTAATTTGACTAGAAAACACATTGGCAAAAATCTAATCATGTTTCTTGGACGGATCCAAATTCTTCTTGGATGATCATAGCTTTGAACTTAGTCAGGCCTTGTGGAGTTTGGCCTATTGATTATTGAACTTTCATATATTTTCAGTTAGTTTATGACTGGCAGTGAAGCAGCAATGCAATGCATAAAAGCCTCCAATTCAGAGGTGGTATTCAGCAGGTTCTGACCAGTTCTGTAGAACCAGTAGAGGAAATTTTGAGTAGTTAGGAGAACTGGCAAATCTCACCTCTGACTGGAGATTTTACAATATCCTTCCCCTGCCACGCCCACCAAGCCACGCCCACAGTAGTAAAAAAAAATTGAATCCTACCACTGCTCCAATTCAACAAGTGACATATCTGTATATAAGTTGACTTCTCTTTATAAATATTCCTGATTGACTGACTTCTAAACATGAAGTGTGAAGGAAAAAAGCTGCTAGCAAACTTTCCAGTTTTGTCTGTGGGAGGAGAAGAATACATGTTTTAAAATCAACAGATAACATTTTTAATTTTTAACTGTACAGTCCCCAGGTTCATATTTGCAGCAGTTAATCCAGTGGTTACCATACTTCCTCCCTCTTGGAAGCCAAAAGAAGATGAATATGGTAAATTTAATTGTTTGCTATGGATATTTGCCTTTAAGCATTTGAGTAGTTTAATAATCTAAAAAAGGAGGGTTCTCTTTTCATGGAACTTTGGATGGGTCAATGTTCAATTCATTTTGAATGGTGTAGCAAAACAAAGACAAAAAGTGATGAGGCCAAGACAAAGAAATGGACAGAGCCAAGTAAAAGTTGAATCTAAACTAACTAAAGACTAAATTGACTTCATTGACTTTGTTGTTTATCACATGAACAAAACTTTATTGCAGAACTTATAAATAAAATAAAATAACTTTAGCATTAGGTTAAAGAAGCAATTCTTCTCATATCTAGGTGGTGGGAATCATGGCTGAGAACAGCCATCCCCAACCTTTGTGGCTTGGCAGCCCTCACACATGCAGCCCTTGCACAAGTGATGGGCTGGTATGCACGTGCCCCAATTCTGAATAGGGACAGGGAACACTCAGCTTAGAACATGTTTGGTGTGAAGAAACCTCTTATTAATTTCCTGATATCAACAGTGTTAACAATTCCTAGGGAAAACAGGAAACAAACATTATCATAAATCTCATGTATTTATGAATTGTGTTGTAAAACCAACGTATTATCTTAAGGGACATTCTCTCAAATTTAAAATTAATTTTGGTTTAATACATAAAATGGGTTATTGGACAACATGGAAACATGGAGATGTTAAAGAAGGTAATTGCTTGCGGTAGGATATTTAAATTAGTGATTTAACAAATACACATTCCTTTTCCATTTGGAAAGTTAGTTCAACTACAATCTAATTTAGGAACCTTTTTTTTCCTTTCTCACAGATATAAATGTTGATCCAAAAGAATCAAGAATTCCAAAGAAGGAAGAAACTATAATTAGCAGCAGTTTGGCTACATTTGCATACATTAGAGGTAGATGACTTTACTTCATATCCTTGTGTTCTGATAAGAAATCTTGTTACTGCTAGCAGTTACATTTTCGAGAATTAGTATAAAATATTACACATAATATTTGCAGCATTTAAAACTTCATTGATTTATTTACAATATCCTAATTAACAGGTGTTTAAAGTATTATTTTGATTTAGTTAACTCCATGGAGGAAAAATCCTTGAAGAGATAATTCACATTTTTTCTGGTACTGGTGGCTACAGGCTGAGCTAAATAATAGCATTTTGCTGATCTTGAAAAATGGGGAAAAGTGGATCTGTTAGAACATCCAGAGTTGTAGGTAAGAAAACTGGAATCTCAGAAGAAGATAATAGTAAACTATTTTCATACTGTTTCACAAAAAACTTATATAGATCCATCTCTTTATATCGCCTAAAATCATATTTTACTTAAGAGTTAACTTAGTATTGTACCTTATTTTCATCTCCATATTGCTGGCCAGAAACATGTTAGCAAGGTCTGATGGATTATGTATATTTAGGTATTAAAAGATTGTCTCAGGAGTCTGGGCTTTTCAGAAATGACAGCAAATTATTATCATTCCCACCCACCTCTACATAAGGCTCTAGTCTGGGATCTTGTTTCTAATTTCAGATCACCTTGAAAGAGCTGCTCTCTTGTTTGTGTCTAGTGTTTGCGTTGGCCTAATGCTCACACTTTGTGCTCTGGTAATGCACATTTCTTGCTGCGATGATGTGATAAAGCTATGGAGGATGAAAAAGCATCAGGTGCTAGAAAATCAGAAGGCTGCTGAAAACAATGAGGAGGAGGAAGAAGAGGAAGAGGAAGAAGAAGAGAGAGGGGAATCTTCTGATTCAGATTTTACTGATGAACTAACAGGCTTATGCAGGACTTCAAATTCAGCTTATTGTTCCCTGGATGCAGCTGAACTGGCTGAAAGGATAGAGCGGCGGGAACAGATCATGCAAGAAATCTGGTTGAACAGTGGCTTGGAAGCATCTCCTACTAGAAGCTTCAGCCCATTCTATATCAATGAACAGCAGTGCATTTGTTTTGGATAACATGCACCTCTTTTCTTAAACTACCTTCTGTGAAGGATCATCTGCAATGTAATATAATAATTATTACAAAGATATATAAATAATTATTTAAAATACCTTAAAACAGTTTTTAGTATGGCATATTTTGAATCCTTGCCTCCAGTTTATTCTATTTATTTTATCTCTGAATTGTTTATAATTGTTTGAAAATGAGAACCTATGTTAAAAACCAGCACTATATGTATTTGCACTAAGAAGAACCTGTTTTGGACCATAAAAGGTAAGGCTGATATAGCTAAGGTCACTATGCAGATCTCTTTTTCAAAATAACTTCTAGACATATTTCATTAGTTCAAGCCAATCAAATCTACATGTATTCCTGTCTTGAAAATATCATATATTTTATTGCAATCTCCAGGAAACCTGAAGAACAAAGGAAGGAAAAATGTCACTTCCTACTTAAGAAATTTAGAAATGTCTGAACTTTCCCTTTATGTTCATATAGTGACATGAAATGTAATGGGTGGAGCAGCTTTTGATTTTTTTTTTAAAATTTCTGATGGGTTTAAAGTAAAAAAATGGACCTTGAGAAAATATATGGAATGTTTTTTTCCAATAACTAATTAGTGACTTAATACCGTACTGGGAAACCTTCAACTGATTCATTTCCTAGTAACACAGGAAGTCAACAGTTGCCAAAAGAGGTTTTTTTAAAAACAAGAATTGAACTTGGTATTGTAAAGAACTATAATGTGGTCTTATTCATTCAAGGTCAGAAAATAATCTGATTTAGACTGATTGACTGTGCTGTAGGCGAAGAGCAGGTGCACATTCTGTTCTCTGTGGCATATAATATCCATACCCATAATGCTCTTTCCTTTGGGGAAAACAATGCCATGCAAACTGCAAATAATAATAATAATTAATAAGCAAAATAACTCAGAGAGGGAATATATGAGAAAATACAACTAATTGGAATTTACACCAGCACCTTCATACACTTTTCAGTCTTTCAAACCAGATTTGATTTCACCATGTACATACACTTATTTGTTTTTCTTTAAGTTTGTACTGTGTTTTCAAGTTTCCTTACCCCATTCACTTTTATATTTGTTTTGCAATTTTATCCTATTCATTCTCTGTGAAACCAAGCCCAAACCTTAAGCCAGACTTCAGTTAATTTTGTCATTTGAGTCGTTCACATTTGTATTTTATCATACAGCTTACTACTTAACACTCATTGCAAATCATTTTGGGATCTCGGCCACAAACATAGCATCATTTGCTTATAAAACTGTACAGTAAACCCTGTCATGGCCCAATCAGCACATCCATAGTGTAATGTAATACCAACATGTATTACGTATTTCTATGTAAAACAACCAAGGGAACCTCAGACACTTTTTTGGTCTTACTTTCTGCTTGTACCATTTATTAAGCATTCCATTTATTTTCAGGCATGTTTTACTCTGAGTGTATACAGCTTTACTCTAATTGCATTAATCAATCACTCTTTAATTCAATATCCATGCAAAATGTTACATAATTGTAGGATTTTAAATCTTTCAGAATAAACCTCTTGTCATCTCAGAAAACTTAAAGCAAAAAAATAGAGAATACAAAAGTACGGTTTTATACAATGTTAAGGTTGCTAGAACTTTAACATCCTGTTACAAAAATACATGAATGGAAAAGATAGTTCATTAACACTTAAGACTGGACAAAATCCTTTCTCCTAACATGCGTATCTTTGGCTATTTCCCCCCCCCCCGCAGTTGTAACTCCTATAATGGAGTTCCAAGAAATAAATCACGCAAGTGGAAATTTTGAAAATGGAAAGAAAAAACAGCACAGGTAGTCCTCAACTTACAACCATAATTGAGCCTCAAATTTCTGTTGCTATGTTTCTTGTTTCTGAAACATTTGTTAAGTAAGTTTGCCCCATTTTACAATCTTTTTTCCACAGTTGTTAAATCAATCACCTTCGTTGTTCAGTTAATCAAATTTGTTAAATGAATCTGGCTTCCCCAATGAGTTTTCAGAAGGTCGCAAAAGGGGATCACATGACCACGGGGCACTGGAGGTGTCATAAATGTGAGTCCATTGCCAAGTGTCTGAATTTTGACCAGATGTCCATTGTAGGGATGCTACAATGGCTGTAAGAGTGAAAACTGGTCATGTCACTTTTTTCAGTGCTGTTGTAACTTTGACCAGTCACCAAACAAACTGTTGTAAGTCAAGGACTACCTGTCCAGAAAGAAAGGAAACCCAGCTTTTATAAAATAAAATGCCCTGAAAATTCCTGACTTGCAGGAAACATGAAGTCTGCTTGGAAGGTGCGATTTCAGGTTTAGTTGAGTACTATTTTAGCTTGGAAGAAGAGAACTGGCAGCACTAGGGTGTAAATGCTGGAACTCAAGAAAAACAACCATTTCTAGTATAATTTAAAAACAAGCATGCTAAATTAAAGGGCAAAGAAACAGTATGGCACTGTTGAAGAATATAAACATAATAATAATAGGATGTATAGCAGTTTTAGTGAATTCAAGGGAATAACAGTAGGTTATCAGTTATTTGATTGAGTGCATGCGTATTAAACACATATGATATTCCAATCTTACAAAACTGCATGTGCATCTGAATACACACATTGCTCCAGCAAATCATTTTTAAACTTAAATTTTGTCATGTTTTTGTGGAGATTTGCAGTTTTTTTTGTTTATTTTTATTTTGTGTGTTCCCTTGAAATAGGCACCTAGGAGACAAACGTTCATCAACGCTACCCAAACTAAAGCAGAAAAAAGAAGTTGACAACCATTCCTCTTTGAAAACTAAGCCATTCAGCTGTTGCATGTACATGTGTCTTGATTTCCTGGCATGCAGCTGCACTTGAATTTTCAGAAAGTTATTTTGATTAGCCAGCTAGGGCTTCACTGCTGAAGTGGTGTGGAGGAGGTGCCAATGAAAATAGGTGTGGCACTGCCCTAAATAAATGTTTAGGTTTTCTTCTACGTGAGGATGTGAAACAGTTGGGAAAATAAAACAACTAATGGGCATGTCAGGAACGGAGGACTAGGAAGGAAAAACCCTGGAAACAATTCCATTGGCTTGGCTTAAGTACTATGAGATGCCTATAGATGTTTTGTAAGCTGATCTATTTCACCGTAACATGGCTGAACACCATAGGCAGATTTTTCATTGCAAGTCACACAACGATAGTCATTTGAGACTTAAAAGCACTTATTTCCAAAGCAGTTGATGTTGGAAGCATGAAATGGCTTTGATGGTTGTGCCTGATTAAAGATGAGATTTCCTTTATGACTGAGGAATTTGATTTAAAAAAAAATATATTTTCTGGTCTTTTCAAGTCCAAAAGAAAAATGATTTTTTTAAACTTATTTTTAATAAGTTTAAAAATAATTTTGGGGGGATATCAGAAAAAGACTAAAATCTAAAAAAAAAAAAGAGAAGAGATTAATTCTTTTGTAAGAACACTGAATTGGATTTGTTCTGCAATGGATGCTGCCACATTTAATTGGGAATTATCAGATCAGATAATCCAATATGGAAACTACCATATTGGAAAGCTTTATGATGTCAATGATATATAATTGAACACTGGCTTATGAAGGAAGCACCTTAGAGGTTTTTGGAACTATCACTGAAAGTACAATCTCATTGTTATAGAATATCACTTAAATATTTAGAAGTGGGTGGAACAGAGTGTACAGGTAGTCCTTGACCTATGAATCACAATTGAGTCCAAAATTTTTGTTGTTAAGTGAGGCATTTGTTAAGTGAGTTGTGCCCTGTTTTACAAACTTTCTTGCTACAGTTGTTAAGGGAATCACTGCAGTTGTTCAGTTAGTAACACATTTGTTAATTGAATTTGGCTTCCCCATTGACTTTGCTTGTCAGAAGGTTGCAAACGGTGATCCCAAGGCCCTGGGGTACCGCAACGCTTATAAATGTCAGTCAGATGCCAAGCACCTGAATTTTGATCACGAGATCACAGGGATGTCACAACAGTCTTAAGTTTG